TAACTTAAAAATAAATCTATTAAAGGATTTACAGTTCTAGTAAACTGCTAATACAATTAAAGAAGGGAAGAGAAGTTTCAAAATAGATTTGAAAAATGTTAAAAAGAACCAAACGGAAATCCCAGAACTGAGAACTATACTATCTAAAATTTTTTAAAAAATGGTTGGAGGGGATTAACAACCAGTTGGTCACAACAGCGGAAAGGAGCAGGGAACTTAAGCACAGGTTTAGTAGAAACCAACCAAGCTGAAGCACAGAGAAAAAAGACGGAAAGTGTTCAGCGTTCTATGTTCTTTGTGCCACCCTAGTCCAGATCCTGTCTTTTGAATTGGATTGGCAGGGTTTTCTCAGTGTGTGTTTGTTGCAAATACCCAGGCAACTTTGGGGAGGAAAGACCTTCTGCAACAAAGTGCTGTTCTTGCTGGACCACAGTTTCAGCTGAATGAACAGACCATTTGATGCAGAGGGGAGGGGCTTTAAAAATGGTTTGGGCAGATGTTTGATTCTATCTTGCACAGCCATTCATTCAGCTAATTAATTGAGCACCTATTCAATGCATATACAGGCATGAACATGACAGGCAAGGTCCCTGATCTCACAGAACTGTGTCATGAGGGAGGCATCCAATTACATGAAACAATCCGTATAAAGGATCAACTTGATTGGGATTACCTGGCACATCACGGAGTGAGCTGCGGAGTCGCTCCTGGACATCTGATTGTTCCTGAAGTAGACCTGAGCCCCCGATAAAAGCCACCATTGAGCACTTACCGTGAACCAGGCGTCGTTCTCTGTACCTTCACGCACTAACTCATTAATCCTCAGCACAGCCATTTTACGGCGGAGGACACTGAGTCACAGAGGGGTTCAATGACACTCCTGCTGTCGCACAGCTTGGGAATGGCAGCACCAAGATGCCACTTCAGAGGCTGGGCCCAGAGCCCAATCTCTCCTCTCTCTGGATGTGAGAGGCACTGATGCTCCTCACTCCGAGGGCCTGTCTGGGGGCCTGCAGGTCATGGTACGATGGACCAAATCATGTGGAAGGTGCCAGCTTTCTCCCAATTCCTGGCCTCGTGCATGGGCCTGTCATCATCCAGGCGTTTGTTCTGCCCTCACTGCCTGGGATCCTGGGCCTAATAGGTTTAGGGCTCCAGCCAGAGATGTAACGAGGCTCTTAGGATCTCTGGGGCAGTGGCCAGAGCCTGGGCTGTCCCTGTCATCCTTGTACCAAAATCGTGTCTCAGATCCAGACAAGACTCAAGAGAAATAACATTGCTTCCCATTTATTGAGCATATGTATGCACCAGGCACCATGCTGAGTGCTTTAGATGCAATGTTTTATCTCATTTAACCCTTAGTACAAACAAATAGAGAAATAACAACAACATGGCAGTCGGTGCTGCTGCTAGTCTCATTTCCAAATGAGGAAGCCCCTCAGCTGGGAAAATCTGGAGAGCTTGTCTGGGCTCACGCAGCTGGTTAGAGGCTGACCCAGGATTCGGACCCAGTCCGGCCCCCCAAGCTGCTGCGAAACCACCGAGGCCTGTCTCCCGAGCCATCTCAGGAGGGAAGAAAGTGCAAATCCCTGTCTAAGTCTGAATGTTTTCCTTAGTGCTTTCTTTTCCTGCAGAGGAAAGATTGCAGAGAAAAAAGGACACTCAGCCGCTTCTCAGAAGGATGTTGTGTCTCCCTCCTGCCCCGGGCCCCCTCCATGCTGGAGACAACAAGACTCCTGTCTGAACGCGGCGGGTGTTCGTGTCTTTGGGAGCCTTCCAGCTCTCTTCCTCGTCTAGAGCTCCTTTCAGCTCTGCAGAAGCAGGGCCTATCCGGCTCTCTCTCCTGTTCCGTTTGTAACAACCGGGAAGGTGGTGGGTGGGTGGGTTGGAGATGAGTCCAAGATTTGAGAGCCCAATGGACAGTCTGACTTGGCTGGCAAATTCCCCTACACACACACACACACACACACACACACACACACGCCCCTTCCTCCTCTGCAGCAAGACATCCTCAGGGAGTCTGAGCACGGATCCTGGGCCCATTGCCGGCCCTGGCCTTTCAGACACAGGACCACCTGCTTGGTTGGCCAGCAGCACTTCCTTGGCCGGACACCGAGCTGCGCTCACTATTCTGCCTGAGACAGAGGTGCAGCTCGCACCCTGCACGCAGCCCGCCGCCTCCCCTGGGAGGGACAGAGTGGAAAGGGAGCTGGGGCAGCCCCTGTGTGGGGTGGGAGCGAGGTTCCTTCCTCCTCTCCCCTGGGCCTGATACCCCTCCCCCAAGGCACATTGCTGAGAAGTGGCCTCTTGGTCTCAGGTTGGTTGGAACCTGTCCCCCATCTTGGTGCCCACTCTGCCCTCCCCTCTGGGGTGAGAAGGAAACATTGTGAAATGTAACCGAGATGGCCCCTGTGGTTTGGGATCTTGACTCCTGAAGGACAGCCCTGGGCCTGCAGGAGCAAGTGGTCTAGCAGCTCACATGGCCAGTCGGGGGCTGGCGTCTGGGTGGGGCTGGGGCTCTGAGCCCTCCACAGGCTGCATGAGATCCTGGGGCACGCCGATGCCTGAGTGGTCTTGCCCAGGAGACCTAACCAGGGATGGGCAGCAGCTCCCCCTGGACATGAGGGTGGCAGGGAGACGGGGGGCCAGAGATGCTGCCGTCTGGTCCCAGCTTCCGCAGCAGCATTTGCTGCTGGTTCTGGCGTGGGTCCCTGCAGGAGGTTTGCTGTGGGAGCTGAGATTTCACGCCTGGCGACTGGGCAGCTTCCAGCTCCAGGGCTGGAGGCTGTGCACGAAGGTTTCTTTTTCTGGCCCTCACACCCAACGCATCCTTTCCGTAGCCGGGCAGCAGATGGGCAGGCGTGGGCGAGGAGGAGCGTGAGGTGTGCAGGAAGAAGGAACGTGCACTCCAGAAAAGTAAGGGAGTGGTGACGAGTCAGCCTATCTTTTTTGGGGGCGGTGGGGGGAAAGGGCGGAAAAGTCCTGCTCCTCCAAATGGAGCGGGAGGGGGCTGGGTCAGGAAGCCCCGAAGGCAGTTTAAGTTACCAGTCAAGACCCAGCATTGGTCCTCGACAGACTCAGGTTCAAGTCCCTGGTCCATGGCCAGCTAGCATTTGCTGATTTTC